AGCCAATCAGAATCTTCCGGGCTATCTAGACCCCTTATACTACTATGGTAATATAAAAGATTTGGAATACATTGTATTTTAAAAACAGCTGGTATTGCCTTGGTATGATTGATTTATTTTTATTTCCAATATTTGTTGTAAAACTGTTTTTTTTAGGCAGTTCTACTGATATATTGGAAATCCTGAGGAAGAGATGGATCAGCTGGACGAGAACAAAAGACTGAAATGGAGATAGGGAGGGATGGCCTGCCCTGCTGAGGGATGCCACACATTCTTAAAAACCACGAAGGAGACTCGATTACATTGGAGTCAGGTACACAGTCCGGAAATTTGTATAGTTGCCTGCCTTGTATGCCGAGAAAGAACCAGGCATTCAGACATATGAGACTGAAACACCCCAACCAAAATCAATTCAAGCCCAAGGAGAAATGGATCAGAAACATAAGTATTCCTGCCCCTTGCCCCTGTAAGTCAGACCAGGGAACAGTTTCGATTACAGGAGGCAAAGCGCAGGAAAGCTGAGACATAGAACGTATGTCAATCGCTCGACAGGGAACAAAAAGTATCCTGCGATCAGGAGGTTTGGCCGTCCAAGGAGGGAGGGAACCTATTAATCACTGGAAAATTGTGGGAAAACAGTCAGTTCCATCCGTTGGAAAATATACATTGTAACTAACACGTACAGCTGTAGAATTGTACTATAGGGATAGTGAGAGTGACCGTGTTGGAGTTTTTTTATTTTTACCTTAGTTGTTTAAGGTAATTTGAACGTCACGATTTAAACCTTCCGCGTAACGGAACTTCCAACCTAGCGGGTTGTCGTAAGACCTGATGTTGTTTTTTAAAACAATGATTTTAATAAAAATGTATAACATAAATTTATTCACAAACATGTTAACTCATTAAAAAACTTTTATGTCGTTGTTTAAATTTTCTTTGAATCGATTACATTTTACGACATTAACTTGAGAGTTAACAAAAGAAAAGGCATCGGTTTTTAAAGCCAAAAACAACAGAAAAAACTTGATAATATTTTATACAGTTTACAAGATCAATGGTCGACATTTTCTATTTTTTCTGAGCATAATTTCCAACGTTTTCAAGATATGCGGTTTCTACTCCCTACACACTCTCTTATGTCGCAGGCGATAGTGACAATTGTAATTGACAACTCACAGCCTCACACCGACATAGACTGGAGAAAGGGCAGGCGTGTCGAGCTAAGTGTTTTAGCGGATGGCTTAAGGCCAGGACACACGGTAAGGCTTGCCTTATAAGTCATGAAACTTAAGTTTTAGCCTTATCGTGTGTACACCCTTAATATACGTTTTTTGGAACCTTAAAGTCTGATTTTAGAATAGAACACTGCTCTATTTCCTAGTACAAGACTTACCTGACATCTAATTCTTGGCCAATGAAAACCATTTACCCAAAGTTCAATCTATTTTAATAAAACCGTACTCATTGGTATGTTGAAGAAAACACGAAGTATATTCGAGTAAGATAATTAAAATATCTACAAATACTTCAGTTAATATCTTCTTCCTTGTTAAGAAGTGTGGATGCATTGGTCGGTAAAACTATTTCAAAGTCATTGTTAGTATTCTATTATTCCTTTTAATAATGTGCATTGTTTATAGTTAAAAAACGCACAGAATTTATGTAAATGTTGTTTATAATATTGTAAGTCTTGCCTTAGCATGTGGACCTGAGAGCCGTACGTCATGCAAAACGTAAGGTTTTAGACTTATAAGACAAGCCTTATCGTACAGCTGTAGAATTGTACTATATGGATAGGGACAGTGACCGGGTGAAGTGTTTTTTTTAAATTTGTTGTTTAAAGTAATTCGAACGTCACGATTTAAACCTTCCGCGTAACCGGAACTTTCAACTTAGCGGGTTGTCGTAAGACCTGATGTTGTATGTACCACCCTTACGGTCGTGGGATACCATTACACCTGTCCCATTGTGTTGGCGTCATCACCTACGGATTGGGGGCTTTCTTGAAAGGTATTTGTCTGATTATCAACTCGTATTAATTATGTATAGGTCAGCGGTTTGCGCAACATGTGTACATGCAGCAATTACAGATCCTAACATAGATCAAATATATGTATTGACTAGTATTATAATTATTTATTTGAAAAAATGAGGGAATAATAACTATAATGCACATTGATTTATAAAAATCATTTAATCAATACATGTGTACATGTATAAGTGTACATGAGACAAATTGAATGTCCTTAATCCCTTCTCTAGCTTTGATGATCACATCAATTTTAGAAATTACATATTAAACTAGCTGCATCCTGATCTATCTCATAGAAATATTTATTATTCAGTATTAATTGTTACTTATAAGAGTGCACATATGGTTGTATGGTGACCGCCCAGTATTCCGACGGTCCGATAGTCCGACAGCCCAATAGTCCGACGGTCCGATAGTCCGACAGCCCAATAGTCCGACGGTCCGATAGTCCGACAGCCCAGTAGTCCGAAGGTCCGATAGTCCGACAGCCCGGTAGTCTGACGTCTTGATCATTTGTAGTCATATAACCAATTCCTTCTGCAGAAAAGGGAAAGGATTACACCTTGTCTGTGCTTGATTGGTATAGAAAGTCGGTATGGAAATTTAAGTATAACTGAAGCATTATCACCCCCACCCCACCCCCATAAAATAAGTTTTTGTATGCCCCCGTAATCAAAGTATCGGGGATACATAACTTTTTAAACATTTTTTTGCTACACTCTGATGAACAGCTTTCTATACAATATGTACTAATTAAAGTGTTTATTACATTGATCTAACAATTTTCTTTTTGACTGGCCTGCTGGTTCAACATAACAATTGTTAGACAGCAACGTTGTTACAAATTTGACCCCAAAGCAATACAATGGTTTAACTTTTATTTAAGGACAGATGATACAAACAAAAATATATCCCTGGATTTGTATATATTTTTTGCGCCTAATTTTATCGAAATCGATGCATATAATAGATTTCCTACGGAAGCGTATTAGTGCCACTTAGACACTTAACTTTTTTTTTAATTTCTACACTTTAATCTGTAAAATTTTACACATTAATCTGTAAATTTTACACATTAATCTGTAAATTGTACACTTTAATCTGTAAAATTTTACACTTTAATCTGTACATTTTACACATTAATTTGTAAATTTTACATTTTAAAGTGTAAATTTTACACTTTAATCTGTAAATTTTACACTTTAATCTGTTAATGTTACACTTTAATCTGTAAATGTTACACATTATTCTGTAAATGTTACCCATTAATCTGTAAATAATACACATTAATCTGTAAATTTTACACTTTAAAGTGTAAATTTTACACTTTAATCTGTAAATTGTACAATTTCATCTGTAAATTTTACACTTTAATCTGTAAATTTTACACTTTTAATCTGTAAATTTTACACTTTAAAGTTTAAATTTTACACTTTCATCTGTAAATTTTACACTTTCATCTGTAAATTTTTCACTTTATTTGTTTATTCGCATAGTCAATTTAGCAACATCACACATTCCCAGTAACGCATTTAAAGCGAACGGACCGTTAATCATGCAAGATAATTACAGAAGCGCAATACATGTATGTATCTGAACTGCAAATAAAAAAACTTTGAGATATAAATATATTTTTACTTTTCGGTACACTATAGTAAAACTAAAGATACACATGTATATATACTGAAATATAAGCAGATCCATGATTTCTTATGCTGGGAAAAATTACGAGGCCCATGATGAAAAGTCCATCCTTGCTTATCATATACTAATAAACAAGTACGAGTACATGTAAAATAAAAATATACAAACAATTGCAAACATCTTAGTTTAATACTTTTTCTCAAGTGTCAGAGGTTAAACATCACAAATCGACCGTTCGATCATAACCTATTGCAGTTCAGGTTGTTCAAAATAAAATGTAAATTTTACAGATTAAAGTGTAAAATTTACACTTTAAAAAGTGTGAAATTGACAGATTTAAGTGTAAAACTTACAGATTAAAGTGTAAAACTTGCAGATTAAAGTGTAGAAATTAAAAGAAAATGAAATGTCTAAGTGGCACTCACTGGGTGAAAAAAACCAGTTTCCCGTTGCGGGAAACCTTATGGAAACCATATGGAAACCTCAAAATTACATTATGTTTCCTTGTGGTTTCCGTGTCGGATACTGGGTTATTCCCCCTTGATTCCGTGCAATGGAAACACCCTACGCTCCGATTCCATTAGGTTTCCCGAGGCTTGGAAACCAGTGGAATCGCGAGGTTTCCCTTGATTCCGTAAGTTTCCCGTACGGGAACCTTAAATTTTCCTTTGGTTTCCGTGTCTCGGTATACCTAATGGAATCGGAGCGTAGGGTGTTTCCGTGGATGGGAAACTAGTCGGGAACCTCAAGGATTCCATGTTTTGGAAACCACTTGGATACCATAAGGAAACCTGAAGATTCCACTGGCTTCCGTGCCTGGGGATACCTTATGGAATCGGAGCGTAGTAGTTTCCGTGGATGGGTAACTAGTCGGGAATCTTAAAGATTCCATGAATAGGAACCTGCTTGGATTCACATAGTAAACCTTGAGTTTCCAAAGGTTGGAAACCTAAGGGGATTGAAAGGTAGTAGTTTCCGTATCATGGAAACTTATCAGGAATCTTGGGGTTTTCCTTGATGGAATCTACATGGATTTATTGGAATAATTTTTTTTCCTTTCTTGTTGAATTTTCTTTAAAATTCTCATACTGGAATTAGCTTATGAGAATCTTAAAATTTCTCAGGTGGCCGAGGTGGGGTACATTTGTTATTGAATATTGATGAGTGAACTTTGAGGATATTTATTATTAGTAAACAACAAAACAAATTTCAAATAAGATGACATTTGTATTCTCAGAAATTATATTAATAATACTATCTATTCAAATTCACAACAAAGAAAAATTAAAGTTACTCAATTCAGTTATTTAAGTATTATGTGAACAAAATAAATCTATGAAAAAGTATAACAAATTTTAAAGATATGTCAAAGCATCAACATTGTATATGTACAACATAAAAAAAATCATAGCTTGCTTTTAGTTACTATTATAAAAAAAAAATACAATATTTTATACTGAAAACCAAATTAGTGACTATTGACATTCAGGGACTCAATTAAGTTACTGCAGTATTATAAAAAAATAAATCTATGAAAAAGCATAACAATTTTTACAGATACGTCAAAACATTAACATTGCATCATTGCATCTGTATGTAAATCTTAGAGTACATCTGTGAAATGTGAAAGCAGTCGCCCCATCCACTCAAAAGCTTTAGGCCTGGTTTACATTTTTGCAGACAGACAGACCAACAGTGCAAAAACTATATACCCTGAAATGTTTATTACATGTACATTATAAAAAAAACCAAAACAACTATAAATATTTACATCTGGAAATACACAACCACAGAATTAAAAAGTTCTTTTTCTTGTATCCTCTTGATATCTGAAACCTCGTTTGACCTAGAAGGAAAAAAAAATAGTTAAAATTTAGCATAAGTAATATTTTGGTGTTTTTAATACATCCCATTTATTGAATAAGCTGCCCTTCTACGGAAGTTGGGAAGAAAATGTTTAACAAAAATCTTGTTCACTAAATCTTCTGAATGTACAAATTACTTACGAAATTACATTCCCAAGAACCAACAAAATTTTACTAATCCACAAACATTGACCCCCCATGAATTAAAATGATTGTACAGTAATTTTTATCTCCATAAAAAAAACAAGTTTTCTGGTCATAAGGATGTGATTTATTATAAAATATGATCTGATGATATGTTAAATTTCCAAAAACAGATTCTCTCAGATTCAAAGATAAGATGTGATCCACAAATTATTTAAGGATGTACAGGCATAATTTCCAAAAAGAGGTCTATTTTACCCTACTTTTGTTTGATGTTGCAGCTTTTCTTATAATGATAGTACACAATTAGTTACACAAGGAGACGATACACTATCATAAAACTTATCAAAAGAAGGCCATAGAAAATGGTTCAATATAATCAGACTTCAGTATTTGCAAGCAAAAAATAACACATCCTTAATATTTTTTTTCAAATGGTATTGATCTTTTTGTTCACTTAAAAATGGAAGTTAGGTGAATTTATAAAAGTTTTACACAGTACTAAGAAAGGTAAAAATAAATAAGTATCTGAGAAAATTAATTACCTCTATGAGGAGTAGTCCCTGGAAATGGCCCTAGCTGGACACTTCTCAGGAGGAGGTGTTGTTGTGTCCTCTCTACCATCCCTTACAAATACCAACTGGCGTCTGGCAGATTCGGTCTTCAGGACCTTGTGTCTATATGCCTTGTCCAGTGCCTCTTTTCCTTTGCATGGTCTGGTTGATTCCCAGGAAAATAGGAGCCTGACCCTCTTTGTTGAGTCTTTGTCATCAGTCTTCTCGGGTGAAGTTATGTCCAACCGAATGCACTCCGTCAAGTTCTTTTTAGATGTTGGGGTTCATGACTCGTCTAGATGTTCCACGGTTTTCTATCTTATTTCCAGTTTCTGAGGGAAAAAGTGCATAGTTAAAATAATCATACAGACTTTTTGAAAACATATCTGTACAAGTATCAATGATAATAAACTATGTGACCTTAGTTTTGTAGAAATACCCATTGACACAAAATATCATAAATTTCAAAGAATATCCTCTACAACCCTGCTATACATGATGAAAGATGACTGTAAATTAACAAATATCTTTGAAATGTAGGCAAATTAATTTAAATATAAATCCCAAAAGATCACTTTTTCATATAGGATTTTACAAAATTAGACTTACTGAATGCTTTCTATTGCTTTGTTTTGACTGCTGTCTGTGAAGATCAGTCTTTCCATTTCCTGTCTCCGTTTCTCCTGTTTGTCATTAGTAATGACATTGATGAATGCCTCTGAAATATATAAAAACTCAAATATAACAAACTGAACACAAAAAAAAAAGAAACAAAACACACCACAATCTTAGGGGACTCTCTATATTGTCACCGTCACAACATGCCGTACATCCAGTTGAAGCCCCGTTTTGGTCTGAAATGCTTATTTTATAGGTTTCTGTCTTAAACAAATTCACTTAAAACTGATAAATCACCGGGTATAGCTCAACATGCAATATTGAAATTGGATGCATCTCCTCTAGACAACAAGAGTGGCCAATGTACCCATTCCTAAAACATGAATTGTTTATCAAATTTTCAATTTGTTAATTTTGACTTTTTTTGGTTAATCAAAAATATATTTACAAACTATTAAATCAAAATAAATTTAAGTTATAAAAAAAATTTGCGTCACATAGAAGATACTCTGTATACACCCTGAATGTGAAGTTATACCTGCTGAAATTTAAACTCATGAAATCACCAAAATACTCCCACGATAGTTGGAATTATTATTATAACCTGAACGTTTGATCAACATTCTTTATCAAATGTATTGAATGGTAAACACACAGATTAAAAATTAAAGTAGGAATCTTATAAATCACCTTTTTCAGATGTAAACAAGATGCATTTGTCCAACACTATGCGTCCGGCGCAACAAAATTCAATAAAGCTATTTTTTGCATATAGGTCACAGTCAAGCGATGCTCGTTACTGCGAGCTCTTAAAGCAACGACTGTGCGAAGAGAAAATTTGGACTACTGCACATTCATTCGATAATATTTTTTGATGCAGTAATTTGGATCCACAATGCATCACTTGTTAAGGCCAAACAAAAAAATAACTTTGTTTACTGTTACATGCTGAAATAAAATAGGGTCGGTAGGTAGGAATTTTTTTTTTATTTTATTGAATTTTTTATACACAAATTCACATGGATTGGAATTACAATTTAACAGTTTTACCATTGTATTTTGCCTTACTTTTGTTTGGGCTTGTAATATGGGTGGTAGACAATATAACCTTTCTTGCCAACTGCCTTACAACTCAGAGGTGTGCAATTAAAAAAAATCAAGTACTAAACCCACAGGCTTGTAACAGCAATAAAGTTACTAGTCCGAAGTTAAAAGTGACCAGTCCAAATAAAGGGGCAAAACATTGTAAAAACTAATATTTTAAAAAGTTCATTGTTGAGAAAGCCAGGGTTATAAGCGTTCCTTTTAAAGTTGAAGTTTAAAAATTTTAAGAAATTATCTTCTTTTCTGAACATATTGCACTAGTCTAACTTATCTAAAATGAAGCAAAAATCATTTTACATTTCAAACCATTAAGTATAATTGATAGATACATATTAAAGTTTAATCACATAACACTTAGCTATCAGTTGATTGGGGGATCGTATATAATTGAGAGAGATATCTGCATTTATTTACCATTAACAGAGGAACTTCGGATTAGGAAAAAACGATCGTTTTCACGTTTTTTAAGTAAATAAGTCAGGTAGTACTGCAAAATAGATGAGATTAAAGTGATTTAAGAACAGTAGGAGCATGCTGTCTGGAAAATTTTCATTAGTTGGAAATTAAATAGCAAAACAATGAGTGAAAATACTGTTTGTGTTTTTCATGTTTTTATACATGCATAATTTTAATTGTATTTTTACTACCCCCAAAAAACGGTGGCACCGGGCGTTGGTCGATGCTAGTTGCACACCCCTGCAACTGCCACGCAATGGTAAGCAAATTGCAACGAATTCATTGATGTAGAAATTGGACTCAATGGTTTATTTTCTGTACTTTCAATTTCGATTTCAAAGATGAATGTAAAAGTTAAACTGACCGGCCAGTAACTTCCGGATTTTTATGACGAAAAAAAGTTTGGGTCGGCGATTAAAATTAGGGTCGGTCGGGTAACCGTAAACAGACATATTTTTTTGTTACGCCTAAAAGCTATGTTCTCGCGAGAATAGCAGCAGAAGTTCAACTAAAAGTAAACATGCCCTGATTTAATGGATAAACATTGAAGATAAATAGTAAACAAAATGTTCTTCATTTATTTTCAGCACTGCTCAGGCTTCTTTTTTGGAAATGTTACTTACATACAACGTCATGTGACATCAGAGTCTAGACGAACCACGTGCAGTTTGATGAGCCCGATCTAAATTATTATATCAAAATATATATCTGCGCTCGCCATAACAGTCGCACCGTATTAGTCAAAATGTGGTTTATATAAGGACCCATGTCAAGTGAATTGACATGACCTCTCATGCTTGGTTCCTATTTTCTTTCTATGCCCTGGGTCAATATCACTTGACATAGGTCCTTATAACTTCATGTTGGCCTACACCGGTCAATAATTTGTGAAATATCTAATAATTCAAGCTGATGATTCATTTGCATTACTTGATATACTATCAACATTAATTCAGTATGTAAGCTTTTCTTTTTTAACATCTTCATCTCAGCAGGTCAGACATTAGAAAATTTTTCTTTTGTAAGTAAACTATTTCAATATACAAACCTATTATCTTCAGCGAAGTGGACAGTCTTTCGCCTATATCCACTTTTTTAATGTATGTTTTCCTCCATATCATCCTCATGCATATGATTTAGGGTTATGCTAAGCTACAATCTATTTCAACTGTTCTGATAATGATATCATTCATGAATAATCGGATAGTTGCGATTGAAGACACTTTTTTGTAAAATAATGATGCTTTTTCATAGTTTTGAAACAAAAATATCTCATTTATACGGTTATACCTTGTCATAAGTTCCAAAAAATCAAAACAGTTGGCTTTCCCGAGTATCCGAGAACACATGAATTCAAACCGGATGTACTTTAGTATGTATTTAACTACGAAACCGTGCTCGGTATAGATATTATCATCCGAATAAATAGAGGGGATAAGAATAAAAAAAGAAATTCCGCTTTGAAAGAACTCATTTATACACAGAGAGAGAACTATTATATTCAGTATTCATTCTATTAAAAGGCGAAAAGTCCCCATTAAACAACATACAGCATGGAACACATGTACGATGATTTGGGGCCTACATTGTCTATATATTGCATGGAAGTAAATTAAGTATGTTGTATCACTCAAATTTCCCTTTTATTTCTTGCAATATATGTACTAAAGACTAAGAATTTTAGATATTCAACTTTTCAAAATGGCGTCAGAACAAAAGTTGTCTCCGATAGTGAAGATTTGTTGTTGTTAAATAGGTGTAGGCCTAGTATATTTAGATTGAAAGCGTTTTTAAAAAATAATATGCGTGTGCCACTTAGAGAAAAAAGATTTTTAACACCTCAAATTATTTGCTTTTGGGATGGGGATTTCGGGGCTTGGTTTTTGCATGGTAGTGGCCGTCCTAGCTGAAAGTATATGCCCCCCCCCCACTTTTAACTGTTGTAATTATAAATGTATAATGTCACATAAAAACGATGTTAAACCTTTAAAGGTACATTTTTGAAATTGTGAACTTTCCACTTGAACCCTAAAAGGCATGAAAAATGCTACAATATTGAAGAACAGTATTTTTTTTTTCTATTTTTAATAGTGATGATTGAAAGGTTTGGTGTTTAACATGTTTAAAAATTAATTGCTATTAATAATTAAAAACGCTTTTAGTAGAAAGAATCAGCCTGAATGAGGTATGGTAGAATAGGATACACTTGTGAAAATTAAGATAGAATACCATCAGATCTGATTTTTTTTTTTTGATTAAAAAAACTCAATGAACTCCCTCTTTTTTTTGGTTTAGATTTTGAGCCGGCTATCAATTTATATTATTACTGGTGGAGGTGATTACTGTACATTTTTCTATTTGCTATATCGTACTTGAAAAATATTGGCCTTTAAATAAATAAATTTCCCACATCATTTTAACATGTAATATTGTTAATGTATTAAAATGTCAAAAAGTTTTTTTTAAGGAGAGTTATCACAAGATGGAATAAAACTAATATCTAATCAAAGGCAGGAAAAATTACATGTAACAGTATATTTATTCAGTATTTTAGTCTTGACGGGTATAAGTGGTCATTGGAAAGATTGTGTCAAAAGTCATCTACTGTCTATAGATACTCGTTAATGTGAAACTATGGTTGTGAGTTTATGCACACAGCTTTAGCTGGTCCCGCCCTGTATCTCTTCTTATATACTTTTTTTTCGTAATAAGGAAATGGTAAGGTATTCTTGTAAAAAAAAAAAATTCCCGGTAAGTTTATTACGCAAACGGAAATTACTTTCCTACAGGCCTGTAGTTTGAGTCTCGTCAAATACGCAAGTTTCGAGATTATATCCCTTGGTGCGCTCTTTCGTTGAGGAGGGGAGTTTGGTTGCCGTGTAAACAAACAGGTGGGACAGATATTTATTATTGGATATATCGCATCATCGATATACTGGTTTATCGTAACTATATAATTGTAAGGATGCACTGTTCAACTCGAGAACAACCTAATTAAAGTAAAGGTGTAATTTTTTACAGCAAAAAATTCGGAACAAAAAAGAAAATTCAGTGGATGTGAGACTTTTCAGACGATTGATGAGATATATGGACCTCTAGTATATACGGTAAAAATGAATCTGATCATTACATGTCGGCAATCTAAATGACACATTGATTTTTTACCTTATTATAACTTCAAAAAAGCAACTAACTTTTTAGAGAATGTTTGTACAATCAAGAAAATCTTTTACTTTTATGAAGACCACGACGTTTATTTCGTTTTTAAGTATCCTATAATTGAAAGTAGATTGATAAATATGCACAGTTGAGCTTGATAAAATAATATAATGCATCACTGATTAACATCTTTATCTTTCTATAACATTAAATTAAGTTTAAAAGCCATAGACATCGTTCATTTATTTATGCACGTTGGTACCTGTATGAATTTTAAAGGCGGATTCCGCCTGGAAATTGGGTGGAATTGAGCAGGAATTGGCAAATTCCGGGCGTACTTGAGGCGGAGACGGAATTTTCAAAGAGTTACGCCTCAGAAGAAGAGACGTCTTACAGGCGTCATTTGTATTTTCCGGGCGTCAATTGGCAAGTTCAGATTTTCCGGGCGTAAAATGGCAGGAAAATAGAAACAAAAATTACGCCTGGAACTTTCAGGAGAAGTAAAAGCCTCTGATTGGTCAATTTAATTATCAATTAAGGGTCATTTCAGATAGGAGGTTAAGTTTGAATTTGATCATTAAGGAGGGAGTTTAGTGTGAGTGAAACAGGAAATGCAGATATCTCAATGTTAAGGCTTTTACACTTCTTGAGAATGACACAGTGTCTGCTGGTAGGTGTGATCATGAATATCTAGTACCTATTTGAGTAAATTTGATTATGACTATGTACAATGATAGTTATAACTGGTTGACCCTAAAATTACTTTAGATATTTGAGTTTGTCCTTGCACACATTCTGAGAAATATCTGTCTGATAGAGGCTGCAGTGAGAATCTAACTGTAAACTGCTGAGTAAATGAAGAATTGTATTCAGTCAGTAACTAAAATGTTTCAATATAATTATTGAAGTGATAAAATGTACAGGTATTGTAAAAAAGCTTAATTCTAAATACACACTTAATCATGTTTTAGTGTCCCTAATACACAAAATTCATGTTATTTTTCTATACTTGTTAATGATATATGTTAATGACCTGTCATTATGTTTTCTTACAGTTCAAAAAACTAAATTTTTAGCTTTAACATTGTAAATCATAATCTGAATGTTTTTCTTTGTTAACATGGTAAAGATATAGGTTTTTAGGTCACATAGTATTATATAATAATAAGGACATTCCAGGCGTAATTCTATTCCAGGCGTCATTTTAGTTTCCAGGCGTAATTTTTTTACGGGCGTCATTTATTTTTCCGGGCGTAGCTCATTTGCATTTTTCGCCTCAAATTCCTGCCCATTTACGCTTGGTTTCTGCCTAAGTTACGCCCGGAACCTGTGTATCACCATATATGTAGAGAGACAAATTGACGCCTCTCCAAGTACGCCTCAATTCCCCCTATATTCCAGGCGGAACATTTCGTACAGGTATACATAAGCAAACTGTCCCACCTCCATGCTGAAATGGATACTTTTTCCGCCTCTATCGCAGGAGAGTTACAATCTCGAAACTGGCGTATTTAAGAACACGCATAATTATTTCTTTAAAAGAGTAATTTACAGCATGTAGAATAGAAATAAAGTAAGGGACAAAGTAGATAAAGAAATCTATATAGTTGTATTGAAAACCTTCACTTCTTTATATAATGTCATCAACAAAAAATGCACAGTAATACAATTACACACTTAATTCTTTTAATAGATTGCCTTAGCATGCACTATACATCAAAAGCCGCTGTTCTTGAGGAAAACAAAATAATGTATAATTTTATAGATTCTTCTTCAGTTACATGTAGAGCAATGGCCTTGAAGCGGGGGGGATGCATGGTTTTGTTAAATATACATGTGCATTTAGGACCTTTGTAGTTACATGCAGACGTTTACCACACAGGGATCTGCGAACAAATTTAAATTCAAAAAAACAAAAAAAAACAACGTTTTTTATATGAATATTTTAAACATTATTTTACAGATGTCTATGTTGTTGGATTACAAATTTTACACAAAACATCAAGACTATTAAATACCATGTCATTAATCTATAAAGTGATTATGATTTAATATAATTATACACGATTTATATTTATTCTATACCTATAGAAAATTATTTAATTTTCAAACAGGATAGTTTTATTTCAAATCAGTAATAAACATTGAAATCGAAATTCTAAATAGTTTGTTCTTTCATTGAACTTCTTAAAATAAATGTAGGTTATTTTATGACTTAATTATGTTTTCTTGTATAACTTACGATTACTATACAATAATTTTTAATGATTATAAAAAAACACAAATCATCATCTTAATTTTAGACAAGTCTGCAGAGACTGTGTGTGTACATGATTGGCACCAGCCCATTGTTTCCTGTAGGTAGAAAACCCTCTCAAATCACATAGAATATACAAAAAATACACAGTGACAGGTGTCTCCTGTCCCCAGGCGTCTTTGCAGCACGTGTCTCCACCTGATGTGGCACGTGAGGACAGTTGCCCGTAGTTACACAGGCCGTACCAACGTTTTCGAATATGCTTTTTGGGGAAGGGGGGGGGGTGAAAAAAAATAAAAATAAATAAATAAGAAAACTAAAAAAAATTATCATTATCATAAACAATATTTACGATAGTAAATCACTAGCATTATAATACAGTCCCCCACCTCACTCGATTATAGATTTTTTCTAACCAGTTTATATTTATTTCTATGTAACTATACTAAGTCCTACTCTTCTATATATTGTCTTTTAATCAGTAATCGCAACTCCTCTCTTTAGGATTGATTTCTATATAATTGCACTTTTCTTTATTCCAATTCAAGCATCCTACACGAGTTCACCACGACTAATGTGATAAATCCAATTTAAAATTAATTTGCGTTCACGGTCATGAAATATGAAATTTTATCACATAGAAATACACTTAAAGTTATTTTAACTGTTTAAAGAGATCATTCATTCAATCATTCATCTTTTATTTCCTCTGTTACAGAGATTTTTGACATGACAATGGCATATAAATTATAACTCAATCACAATGTGAGAAAAAAAGGAATACATATTGTAAGTAATAAAAAGAAATAGAACAAAAATACACAAAACGGAAAAAAGCAGAAAATATAACACATATGATACACTATTTTATGAAAAGGATAGCCATCCAAGTAGGGAGTGGGGACGGTGGGGGGTTATCCATTTACAGATCTGAGATTGCATTGTCTATTGTGGAGTGCACAAGAGGAGACGGTGTGTACGTAATTCAGTTTTCTAAACTGGATTTCTTTTTCTGCTGACAATATTGTAAGTGGTGGTCTTCCAAGAAGAATGTTGAATCGGGAAAAAAATGTGGCATCTTCAGAAAATATTTAACTTTTTGCAAAATAAAAAGTACATGTAGTTGGAAATTAGTATGAGATATAATTTCAAAGTTTCCCTACCTGGGAAACGTGGGAGAAACTACAGACTGATGGTTTCCATGTCGGGAAACTATATGGAAACCACTGAGGCATGTTTCCCTG